ATCTATCTATCTATCTATCTATCTATCTATCTATCTATCTATCTATCATCTATTTGATTCTCATCTATCTCTCATTTATCTATATATCCATCTGCTTATCCACCGTATATCCATTTTTGTATTATTATTGTTGACATGTCCCTCAGAAGAATCTTGTGGACATACAGCTACTGTTACCCTTACTCTGATGTGAAGCTCTGAACTCAAAGAATCATTTTCTTAAAATTATCAAAACTGGAGCTAGAACTCACAGTCTCTAGTGCTTGCAGAGGCATACTGCTTGTTATCATTGCTATTCTGTTATCTAACTTAGAAAACATATCAAATACCTGAGGTAAGTTTTCCTTTGACTAAGAGGTGCCAGCCGTGGTTGATTGATTTGGCGTCTGTGGTGAGTAAATAATGGCTGGGGCAGATAATAAAAGCAAAGCCACTCACATTATGACCAGGAAGTAAGAGATTGGATAAGGGGCTGGAGTACCAGCATTTCCTCTGATGACATGAAGACATGTCATTGGTCCTCACCTCCAAATGATTCTATCATCTCCTAATAGGGCCATGCAAAGGACTAAGCCTTGACTACATTGACCGTTGAGAGACAAGATCCATATTGCAATAGCATTATTGTGCACTGTAGAATCCCAGCTGTCAATGGCATAGGCTGGTTCTAACACAGGTGTGATGAGTAGCTTTCATCTCGAGTACCAACTCCATATCAAATGGTAGGTGCTGCTTGGGATTGAGAAACATTCTGAGACCTTATCGGAGTCGAAATTTGTTTGGTGAGGTTTACCATGACCACAGAAGCTCCTAAACATTCTTTCTAATGTCCTCCATCCCTGCTCCAACACCACAAGAGGTGCTTATCTTGACTGATCTCTGTGGTGCCCATCTGCCCACTCATTATTTTGTTTGGTAAAATTGTTCATAAGCAGATATCTATGGAGAAATGTCAACTTCTAGAAGCTGGATTTTAAGCTAAGCATGCAAACTTCATTCTCCAGTGAAAATGGTTAACAAAATGCAGAGGGAAGGTGAGGAATGCTAATGGCAACATCAATAACAGTTGTTTTACATAAAGGGCGAATGCATGCACTCCTTTTCAGGGTGGAGTGGACACTGCAGAGGGAGAAGCGTTTTTGCAGGCAGTTGAGTTTAGTCATATGTAGTGCTGAAAATTAATACCATTTACTTCTGTGCACATGTAATCAGATTAACTTTATTATAGGCATCTATTACACTCTCATTAATAACAACATACCAAGTTAAGCTGTTTTAAAGTCTAGCAAAATGCATTTCATTTGGAATTAGATGCTAATGCTTGGAGATGACTTCATGGAGTTATGCTTATAGAGACGATCTGTTGACCCTTGGGGGTTAGGACTCACTGCTCAGGAGCCTCTCAAAGGTTTAGAAGTAAACCTGAGCATAGCTACAGATTAGCACATTCCGTTACGCTTTCTCCCATACCTTCCTTCCCACTGTGTATTTTTCTCTTTTTCTAGCTAAGAATCACAGTCACTTGACTTAAATCACACCCAGGACATTTCAATGGGAAATTCTAACTATAAATCTGCGTTACAAATAGACACCAGTAATCTTGTCTGTTGGAGCCTTGGCACATAAGGCAACGGATTTTGGTGCCCTCTGTCCCTGGGTCAATAATAATGCTGGCTACTCGCAAGGCTGCGTCCATGTTAGCTATTAGCATCCAAGGAGTCAGGCAAGGGCTTGGTATAGGAAATATGAAGGAAAAGGAAGAATCAGAATCTCTTTGATCTTGCACATGTCTAACCACTGACTCTGCTAGTTTCTCAGATTTTCTTTTCTTTTCGCCTGTGTCATTGTGTGAAGGTGATGCTCTCAGAGAGACAGGTGAAGCATGATCACCAAGTAGGAACACTAATTCCTCATCTCTCCAATCCCAAATCAGCACCCTCACTTTCTAGTTCTCAGCTCCAGAAAGGGTTAAAGTAAGGGTTATCCATTCTTGCTGATCAGGCCACAGTGTGATGCCCATAAAATGCACCGTAAAGTATATTATTTAATAGATCTGAGCACCGCACCTGCTTCCTTATCTCCTCTTAGGTGATTAAGTTCCTCATAAATGCAATTTGTTAATGTGGGGCCACATCTTCTCACAAGGTAATCTGTGAAATTTGGCAGGCAGTTCCTTGGCTGCAGGTGCAAGATGAAAGACCTATCTCTGGCTTTGCCGAGAAGAAAAATGATGCCGTGCTTAATTCCTGGAAAAAAAATTTTTTTAACGCAGAGGGTGCAACCTGATTCAAAGAAAGGGGAATAGAATTTTAAGGATCCCAGTCATGTACTTCCTTTCCTTTGGGAAAGTGGGTTATCCCCAAAAGACTGAGTGGGGAATCAGAAATCTTAATTGAGGCCAGGTATTGGGCACATTCCCCCTACTCAAGGGAAGTCCTCTGATATGTGTAGCCGTAGCCATTTGCAATGATAAATGATGACTTTTACTCTTATGAGCCATGAAGGCTTAATTATAGCTTAATTAAAGCTAATGCTCCGATCCTTTGGAAGGTAGAACAATTCAAAATAACTCCCCTGTCCAATGGCTTGGGTTTGGAAAGGCATGTCTACGAAATCCATAGCATCCTCATGGTGGGATCTGTCTCAGTCTTTACACCCAAATTAAAGCAAGAGCTAGCTTTTTTTTTTTTTTTCATTAGAATTTCCATAGCCAAGACTGTAATAGGCCATGTGCCTAGGTCCACCTCAGCCTCCTGAGCATTTACATGGTAGGTCGTCTTTGAATATGCAGATCCAGCTCTCCATACACATGTCTCAGGGAGTCACTGGTCATGCTGGCAATCAGCTTCCGAGGGCCAGAGACCCAAGGCCGACAGACTTCTTCCCACTGCACAGTGCTGTTGGGATGGATTTCACTGAAAACATAAAAAGCAGAGGAAAGGTTGGTGATCCAGCTTCCCATCTTAACCAGGAACTATGAGAACTCAGGCCTGAGACACTTATCCCTTCTCTCTCTCAGCTGATGATGGCTGTCGGACCATGTATTAGGTCCCTTAGCCTAGCTGACTGATTCATCAAGTGATGGCCCAACTGAAGCTCCTTTGTGAGGGTATCCAAGATTGGCCACCACCAGTTCTACCAAGTTTTATTTCTTCCATCTGAATACACTTGTTGGTATCCCAGAGGATGTGAAAGCTTGGCTGAGCATCCCTACCTATGAACCCCAGTTTGGTGCCAAAGCCTCCCCTGTGGCCTTGTATCTGGGACTGATCTACCTCATCTTTGCTCTATCAGTTCCCTCCAGGGATTAAAATCCTACCTGGTCCTTCAGCAGCCTTTGGTGATGATCTAAGTTAGCTCTTGCTAACTCCCTCAGGATGAACCTTGCTCCCTGGTCCAACATCTGAACAGGAACTACCTGCTGACACCTTAGATGGAGAATCCTCATTCTCTGTAAACCATATTTATAATTTAACCACGAGCTTGGGTTCCCTCTACTAATGTGTCTTTCTGTTGCTTTCTTTTTTGCCAAATCCCTAATCTATCCCCACAATTGAGTAGCCTTTTCTCTCCAGTCCATGCTTTCCAAGCCCCATGGACAAAGCCATCCTGAGGGATGCCTGATGTTTGTGAGGGCTGGAGGATACTTAGGTTTCTCTAGGGTGCAGCTCACACATCCTTCCATCGAATCTTGAAGGAGATGATATCTGTGAGTTCCTATGTATGAAGCACCTTAGGTAGATACTTTAGAATTAAACCAGGAAGTTACTTTTCCAAGATTGTATAGTCAGCAAATGGCAGAGACAAGGTCTGACCAAGGTATACCTTCCATTCCCTGGTCTACAACTGAACAGTGTATTTCATTTGATAGTTTGTCATAGATTTTTTTTTATGGCCATTGTGCTTATTTTTTCCACGGGTTTTATTTTTTCCAAGAAGGCAGATGACTTTAATTGCTTCAGTTTGAAAAGCTTCCTGCAAGACTTATACAAGCAGGTTTCCTGGTTTGGGTTTTCTGACCTCTGGGGATGACAAATATTGGGTTGCCTGGAAGCCTGGACAGTCTTTTTCAGGGAGAGTGGACAGGAGACTAAACAATAGCATTGAAACAGAGAGCTGGGGTGATGGCTAAGTGAGTAAAGTGCTTGCCTTGAGACCATGGAGACCAGAGTTCAGATCTCCAGGACCTATTTCAACACACACACACACACACACACACACACACACACACACACACAAACACATATTGACTGACTGACTGAAAACTGTGGGTGTGGCAACCTCAGCACACAGGAGACTGAGACAGGGAATCCATAGACTTGGCTGGCTGCACCAACTAGTCAGAAGAGTGATCTCTGGCTTTAGTGGGAGACCCTAACTCAACATATAAGCTGGAGACTTACTGAGGCAAATGCTTGAGATCAACCTCGGGCCTTCACCTGTGAGTGCATGAAACACACACATGCGCGCGCACGCGCGCACGCACACACACACACACACACACACACACACACACACACACACACACAC